TCTATCCAGGGTGTCAAGTTCAGTCTGAGTCCATTTGAGTATGCCAAAAGAATACATCAGGACCGGCATGACCCAACCGTTAAAGGCGCGTACCTTGTTGCCGCCTGATTTATTTATTTATTTATATATTATTATTATTGATTTTATATAAAAAATATAAAAAAAACCATTGTTAAAAAACCTGAATTGAACCGGTGCCCTTCGACTTCATTAAACTATCATTCTTATTTATCCGAGCTACCGATCGCATTTTTAATGATATCGAAAATGCGGGTTAGTTTATAACTTTTATTATTGTCTATTATTAATTATTGACGCCATCTTTTAATTGGTTTGCTTGACTTGACTTAGATGGCGCTATATTAAGTCCTCGGAAATGTGAAAATTAACATAATTTATGTGTATTTGAATATAAATATATTATTGTTTCTTAATTATTATTTTAACCATTAAAAACCTTATTGTGTGCCTCTGCAGTGTAAAGTATTCAAGCTTTGCAGGGTTATTTTCATTTAAAAGCAGCGCCATCTAGTTATCAATGGTAGCGTTATGCAAAACCTGTCAGCCAATAGTCGACCTTAAGCTCTCCATGCATTTTTGTCACCCTTAGTACTTAAACTGTAGTTGTCCGTTGTTGTTACTTATGTACTTTAATAACAAAGTAATGAATAAGCCTTTAGATATCTTCGTTTGTTAGAAATATGAAAGACATAGTTTTCCAATTAAAGGTTAGGTTTAAAGTCCTTTGATATTTGTCATTTAAAATTGTAACAAATTCCTTTGTTATACTTCGTCAGTGAAATAAAATTACAACTAGTTACAAATAGAGAAAGGTTTTAAAAGCGATATGTTAACAATGTTCTGCTATACCAAGTGACAAAAAATGTCTTAATATTGAATTAATACTTGCAGAAATTCAATAACAAAAGCGACTATTTAAACCGGTTTAAATCATTAATTTGTTTTTAATAGTTCTCGTTGACTGGCTAATAGCCCAGTTGAAAACCAGTTCGGTTTTGTTCGACTACTAGACAATACAATTAACTTTACACTAGTCTATCAGTTTCCATTACATTGATAGTATCGTCTCGTATCCTGATCATGCTCATTATCTCTCTCCACTCGAGTTAATTGTAATCCACGTGTACTATGGCAAAATACGGCACATTTCTGTTCTTAAATAATGGTATGTTTTATAATTTGTTGTTAATTGCATCTATCAATGTTAATGTCCAAATTGTCAACCATTTCTTCGACATATGATAAAACAAACGCTTGTATTTATCTAAGCTATCAAGCGCGTGGAGCGCTAAGCTCGATTTGAATATATCTGAGCAGAAGCCAGTAGTGTAGGTATGTTTTAAGCTTTACGACACTCCTGTCTCAGTGTTGTTGAACGACCTTTAGTGCAGTCAGTGCGTTTTGCTCCGCCGCCTTCACCGCACTGTTTTTACCGTGACCACTTCACCAGTGCTAACGTCAAACTGATTGTTGGTAGTGTCCACACAAACCGTTTGCTATTTGGAATTATATTCATTTTGGTAAGTTTCGTTTTAATTAATTTTATTAAGTGTTGACCGTTTGTTTCGTTTTTCATCAGCAAGTGTCGAGTCACCTACTTTTGAAGTCCTTGTGTTCTGACCAATCGTAAAGAAACTATAGTTTTTGTGAGACGAAACGAAACGTTGCTTACTAACAACACGTTTCTCTTTGAATACTTTCGATAGATTTGTTAGAACAAGTTTTCACTCAATGTTTTGTCCATTTATGTTATACTAAACATTTTTATGGTTTGCGTCTGTAGTTACTTGGTGTATAAATCCTTCTTGCGTTTATCAGGGTTTTGTATATATTTGTTCATGCCACGAAATGTTTACATACTCCGATACTGAACATAAAAATGTGTGTTAGTTTTGTGAGACATTCGTCACATATTGTTTTGTGTTTTCATATCATTTCTGATGCGACATTATTCATTGTAACTGTACAAGACGTATTTTTTTTAACCAGTATTACAAACTATCAATGTTATTAGTTTATTGGATATTTGCAGTCTTCAGAGCTGAGGTTGACATATCCTATTCGTTCTTTAGAATTTTGTTATGCTTTTGTTTCAAGAAGTATCTTGTTGAATAAGTATTCTATGTAAATTTTTATTTAAAATCTTGTATTGTTGACTACGTTAAGCGTAGCTAAACACCTCATTTTCTTCGCCATTGTTAGTTGCTGGCTGTGTTTTAACAAAACATTTCTAACTTGAGTATCGTTGATTGCTTCAGATCTATTGTTTTCGTATAATTTAAATATAACTTTGTAAAAACTAAGAAGTAAATAGTACATCGCAAAATCTTTTTTACTTTGTATTTCATTTTTACTTTTAAGTAAGTCGACTGTTATCAGCTCCTTCAAAGTTAAAGTTCAACTTATTATCAAGTTATCTTGTAAGTTTTTCACGTCGAACATAACTCGTATCTTGTATTATAAATAATTTCGGCAAACGATCGAATAAATGATCTGAATGAACAAAATTAGTCATTTGTTTTCTAAAGTTCATTACATTTTCGAAGTAATTTGCCGAGTACTAGTCTAGGTTTACAACTATGTAGATTGTAAATTAGAATCACATTATCTACGCGACTAATGAAGTAAATGGCATAATTGGCGAAAATTGGGCAAACAATTCTGGAAAAAATGTGAATCATGCATGCAAACTAAGCATGCAGTGTATTGTACCTATTGCTATTATGTAATAAATTATATACTAGGACTTAAAATTATCTCGTCATCACGACTATTCTTATAATGTTGATTAGAGTGTGCCTTTTTATGGTACAAGTCGGCAAACAAGTAAATAGTCGGCGCCGCGCTATCACACATGGACAACCGCCAAATCAAAGGAGTTATAAGCGTGTTTTAGGCCTGGGATTTGAGAATTGAGGATATACAAGACTACGCTGTGGTTTATTCACGCCGGTATTCTATGAAGTCGTGCCGAAGTATGGCTCTTCCACACGTCTGATTAATTTGTTATCTTTATTTCAGTTTTCTTTTTAATTCTTTGAGGCGAAGCTTTTTTTTGAGGGGAAAATCGTCAAATGACTTTTCTTCGCCCAGGGTGGGGCGAGAGGGTGTGTCAGACTTATACAGACTAAAAATCCCCGTTCCTTCTCCTGCTCTAGGCCGAGCCCGCGGTGCCTTATCGCGCTGACCGCGCAACTCAGCCTCGCAACCCCAGCTGGACATCAGATCTATAGGGCCCGTGGTCTATATCTGTGGTCTATTGGCTCTTTGAGCCGCGCGCGAGGTACGCTACGCGCCGTTCCCGTGAGGCGAAGGTTCCCAATCAGTTTTCATGTTGACCTGAATCAAGGCAAGCTGGGTTGTGTTGCAGTCATATTGTTTGTTAATATTAATGTCAAGGCTACTTTGTCACTAATATGCAGGTATTTACGATTAAGGATACGTCTAGAATATGCACCAGTCTATGGACTGTATTTATTTTTAGCCAACCTGTTTTGCACAAAAGGGCAAATTGTAATACCTACAGTAAGAGTATAGTCATTTTATTTTAGTGTTCTATTTATAATTTTGTTAGTAGGTACCTAATTACATAATGCGTAAACAGGAATGAAAATTAAAGCTATCAAAATTGATCTGTTATTTTACATAATTATGTATAAATGCTAGATATACAAATAAAGTTATTTATTGCAGTATACCTAATTTATTTTTCCGGTCCATGAGCTTCAAAATAAGAGTAGTGTAAAAGTGTATACGAAACAACATGCGATCTTTTGCAAGTTTTGAAGGTATTGAAGGTAGGAGTTCAACTTGGATTCAAGTTATTCTTAACTTATAGGGCAATTCAGTTAATTAAAATAATCGTATTATAAATATCATACCTAAGTCATAGAACTATCTTTGAAATGGAAATACCTACAACAAATATACCTACACCTACACCTACCTACAGAAAATATATTTTCCTTGTCAATACTTATACCACAATAATTTACATATCACAAAATGTTTTGGTTAGTGAATCACACAATGTTTTAGTTAGCTCATGACTCAATAACGCCTGCATCAAATTTGCCAATTATTTCTTTGTTTTCTTTTCTGCCAGGAGATTTTTATGTAAGAAAATTTTACAAAAAAGTGAAATGTTAAAACTGCGACCCTTGCGTCGATAGTGAGGTAGATATACATATTGTTCGTCGATAGGACACCCTAGCATCGCTGGGTCTATCTTTATTTGTTTTAGGCCTGCAAACGAGCAGACGAATAACCTGATGTGAAGGTACCACCCATTGGTGGTGATATTGTTTCAGAGTGACGAATAGGCGCCCCGATACCTACAAAACATACATACATAATAATATATGTTCGATACACGATGGGATAATAGATAATATTTATATATTACAAAAACATTAGAAAAATAAACCACTTTCAAAATTAAGTGTCAGTACCCAACACGCCCTACAGTAACATAATAACATAACTTAAAAAGCAATTAGACCAAAAAGGTTTCTGGATAAAGCAATGGTACTCTGTAGGTTTTTTTATATTTAATCAGTAAATGGTGGAAATGCTCGTACCCCGTAAATTCAAATGTCTAATAGATAAAGGTATTGTGGTTCACATTGTTTTTTTAGCGAATAAGTTTTACTTTTTATGTCCGCAGTCATGAATTAATAAAGTATTATAAGCTGAAAAGTTTCTTATTTTTGTGAGGGGATAATCATCAAATGACTAGTCCCGCTCAGAGTGGGCGGGAGGAAGTGCTCTCTCTTTACTGGCTAAAAACCCCCAGCTCCTTCTCTGGCTAAAACCTTCCGTTCCTTCTTTTACTCTAGGCCGAGGCCGCGGTGTCTCATTGCGCTTGCCCCGCAGGGGTTGCAGGGTAAGCGCATTCACGAAGGCTGCTTATAGAAAGTATAAGTACTAACGATTTATATATGCCTGAAACGGCTGAGAAATCTATGTGTATCGTCGGTATTCTAAATTCCCTAGTTACACTGTTATCGTGCCATCAAGATACCTTGTATTATTTTATTCCAATTGATTATTTATTTATTGTACCGTATCTCAGATCAGATCAAATTCTTTATCTCAACTCATTGATAAACTCATTATTTCGGGGACATAACTGTTCGATAGTTCGACACGAATTGACGTGTCCTAAAATGGGATCATCCGGTGAGTTGTGTTCTGTTTTAAATTAACCTTAGTTTTTGTCTTGTGTACAGACAGGTACTAGTCCTCTGTCTTCGGAGAATGTACGAAATTATTTCATAATAGGTATTTAAATCTTCTGTTTAACATATTTTTCGTGGCAATGGCTTTTTTGTAAGGGGAAAATCATCAACTGTCTTATCTCGCCTTTAGTGAGGGGAAAAGGAGTGTCAGACTGTAACTGTTCCCCCCGTTCCTTCTCCTGCTGTAGGCCGAGGCCGCCATACCTGATTGCTGAACAACGGCCCTAAAGGGCCTTGTCTGCGGAGTGATGAAACAATTACTGAACCTCAACCATTTTTCGTCTATAATACTTTATTTAATAATTTTGCAAGTGTAAATAACTAGATAAATATTAAAAAAAACCTATTTACTAATAGTTTCTTTAAAGTATGTTATCTTTTTCGAAGTAATCATGTATCCAAATACGAAAATTCTATAGTATAAGTAGGTACCTTACATTATGTATTGTTGAGTGTAGTGAATCAGATTATCCGCATATGCTTGTGTTTTTGTTACAGTGTTAACAAACAAATCGTTTTGATACGTTTTCGAGACGCAGTCTGTGTCTAACTAGGCTTTACATATATGTATATTAATACAGGTGTTTCGTTTCGCTCGTGATATCAGCGTGGTTAATCATTTACCTATTATTATCATGATTATACTCGTTTTTTCTTTGTACTGGTATGCATGACTATTATGAACATAAGTTTTACAATATTTGTAAACAAGTACTAGAAAAATTCTAGGGTGAGATTAGTTAATCTAGCTCTTTCATAATCCATTTATAACAAGTTTGGCTAATACATCAGTGGGTGTCTAAATTGGGATGTAGCACTTGAAATCGCCTTCGTAACAAGATATTATATAACACATGCCACTCAAAGATTTATAAGATGTAGACTTGTGGGATGCAATTTTATCTTTTATCAGAATGGTACTCTTCACATTCTACACAGTAGTTTTACATAACTTATTGATCCGATAAGATTATAATATTTACAAAAAAACCTACATAGGTACTTATAAATTGTTTTTGTGGTTTCAGATCCTTCGCAGAAGATGGCGGGTGGAGTAACGGGCGTGCTCCTGTACGCGGTGGGCGCCGCGGTACTGGGCATGCTGCAGTTCGGCTTCAACACAGGGGTCATCAACGCTCCGCGTCCCTTCATCGAAAATTTTATCAGCACGCAGTACGATGCAAGCCCCAGCACCATATTCAGCGTCATCGTCAGTATCTTCGCTGTCGGTGGTATGATTGGATGCCCCTTTGCCAGCTGGATGCTTGAAAAATACGGCCGCAAAAACGCAATTGTCGTCAATTCTATGATTGGTGTCCTTGGTGCTATATGTATGGGTTTCAGTAAACTCGCAAACTCAGTAGAAATGATCATTATTGGTCGATTCATCATTGGAGTAAACTGCGGCTTTGCAACAACAGCCTCCCCCACTTACGTGTCAGAAGTAGCCCCGGTGAGGCTAAGGGGTGCATTTGGTACAGTTAACCAGTTGGCGGTCGCATTTGGATTGATTGGAGCCCAGATCTTGGGTATCGATATGATAATGGGAAGCGACGAAGGTTGGCCGTGGCTACTTGGACTTGCAATTTTCCCATCAGCCATTCAATTCGTGATGATTATATTTGCTCCCGAGAGTCCTCGTTATTTGCTGTTGGTCGCTCGGGATGAAGAGACCGCTCGGGCCGAGCTGGCTAAAATCCGAGGTACAAGTGAAATCGATGACGAGATCAATGATATGCATGTAGAAGATCGTGCAGCTAGACAGGAGGAGAAGTTTTCTATTCGAGACCTGTTTGTGATTAAAGCTCTTCGAAAGCCACTTGTAATTGGAGTCGTGATGCACTTGTCTCAACAGCTGGGAGGCATTAATGCGGTACTGTATTACTCCACCACGATATTCGTGAATGCAGGCCTAACGCAGGAGAATGCTCGGTTGTCCTCTATAGGCGTTGGCAGCATGTTGTTTATAATGGCTCTCGTGTCGATTCCTCTTATGGATCGTCTAGGAAGACGAACGCTACAGCTGGTCGGTCTTGCAGGTATGGCACTGTTCTCTGTGCTCATGACTATAGCTTTCTTCACGTATAACGATAACACTACGATGAGTATATTTGCCGTTATATTTACGTTCCTGTACGTTGCGTTCTTCGGTGTGGGTCCTAGCTCGATACCGTGGATGTTGCTGTCAGAGTTGTTCGGACAGGGCGCCCGCAGTGCGGCGGTCAGTGTCGGGGCTCTCGTCAACTGGTTTGCTAACTTCATCGTAGGGTTAACCTTCATTCCGATGTCTGATGCGTTCGGTAACTACGTGTTCTTGCCCTACACTGTCCTCCTAATTCTATTCTTCATCTTTACGTATCTGCAGTTGCCAGAGACGAAAAATAGGACGATCGAAGAAGTGACGGCTCTCTTTAAAAAGTAATAGAGACTAGACTTAAGCGACATTCCTTAGAAGTAAGCATATTATTGCGACCTGCAATACTTTACACAGCATTAATGTGATAGAACTGCATGAAATTCGATTTACTTGAATAATATAGATGCACAAGAGTTATCTATGTCCTTTCTACCAGATTTATATAAAAATGGAAAGACTGAACACCAAACTTATACTAAATGGAGTCGTTTAAAGATTCTTCGTACTTGATATACCTTTGAATAAAGTACTTATTAACGATTAATCTAACTAAACTACAAGTATTTTAGAAGACGATTAATATAATAATTCCATTTATAATTTAAATATTATGGAGCCCTATTTAGAAATCATGATATTTATATATGTTGTAATGAAGTGTGTAAAAAGGTTCATAAATATTCACTTAGTAGCGATTGTACGCAAAAATCGTAAATTGTGTTGATATTACGAACAACATTTTATCGTTGATTTATTGATGAATGTGTTATTACTTTGTTTGTATGTTATTGTTGTATTTCCAAAGGTTTGAGGACCAAGTTTTTGTGTATATAGGTTTTTATTGTTATTTAGGTATTATTAAGTTTACATGGTGCTGGTAACACCGAATTTGGACAACGCACTTTTAGATTTTTTTTAACATTTATTTGGTGCTTTTCTATTTTTTATTTTTCGATTGTCTATTCTAGTGCCTTAACTTTTATTTGACAGTGACATTAGAGGGTGTAGACCACAGAGTATGTTATATGAATAGAACGTTTAGGCCAGGATCACATAAGGAAATAGATGTATTGGGTATAGCAGCGCTGGAATGAGGGCTAGCCACTCTCTTATAGAGAGTTTGAAGCAATTGTAATTACACACGTATTTTTATGACAAAAAAACCCAACGCTGTTGTCCCTATTCAATTATATTATTGTAAGCCACTACATTTATAATGTTTATCACGTACCGTAAGCGTCAGTAAACCGTATTTTCCATATGATATTATTAATAATAACTTGTTAGTGAATTGTATACTGTATAAATATGTATTTACACTTTCTATTATATAGTTAACAGTATGTTGTCGACTGGCAACTATGATGTTTCCGTGATGTCGTCAGGGCACAATTCGTCCCGGTGATTTTTATAACTAAGTTTATTATTCACAAGATCCTATCAAGTAATGAAAAGGTACCGGTAAAAGAGAAATGTTCAGCACTGAATCTTGATTTTGTCAGTTACAAATTAATATTTCATTCACGACTTTAAAAATAAAAACATCTACCAGTCCAACATCGGTTTTGATATTTCTCGACAACATAAGTAGAAAGTTAAATTAAAAATAGTTAAAGCTAAGCATGCGATACCTCAATAGTTGATAATGTTATGAAAAAGCACTTTCTAATTAATATTCACTTTAAATCAATAAGATTTTTTACTTGTAAAGAATAAAATGTTATGAATTTTGCGCGCTGGCAATAATCGTGACTTACGTATTCTAATTAGAGAAAACCGTTAAAATTTAAATTGTTCTACGTTGTTCATGTTCTACGAAGTTTGGCGATAATTGCCGAAGCTAATAGTTTATCAGAACATATATCTCCACTTTATAAACACTATTTTAATTGGAGAATTTACCCTCTTTGTTTTTGTAAATGTAGTCTTAAATCTAGATGAGGGAGTGTTAAAACATCTTACCGTCCCAATAACGTACCTTAGTGCCAACTGTGTGTTTGTACTATAATCATTTTGTTAATAATTAGGAAAATATTCAGCTCAATATTAACAGTATTCTCTCTTAAACGTTTTCTGACATGGATTGCAAGAAGCGACTGTCTATTCCTTTCTCGTTCTTTTAAATAATGTGCGAGTGAGATGCAGGTTAGGCGTGTCAATATAAAAGTAACAAATACACCTTGGTAAAAATTAAAGCTACATAGTAAAATTGTCCGCTATATGCGGGTAATAATATTACGTAGTCGAATTTTTGGGTATAAATAATGTAATAAAACTTACGTTAAAATAAACTGCACTTTATAAGTAAACATTTATTGATAATAATCTTTTAAAATGTAATTGATGTTACATAAAATTCCATTCTACAATCAATATTTTCATACTTTATAAAAATAGGGGAAAACAAATTTATATTTCTTATTTTAAGTGTAATCAACACATTTTTTTATTACTTGTCTATAAATACAATTAATAATGCACGATAAAACTAGAATTGGAAAACTTTCAGAAAATGTATTTTTTTTTTCTTCTACTTTATTTTTTTATTGTGATTGTAAATGAATTTAAATAATTATTGTATCTACTATTATTGGTAAGGATAGCTCTAGTTTACTTGAAGAGAAGATGTTTTCTTTTGCAACAAAGAAGGTTGACGGTCTCGTCAGTTCAATTACAAAAGGTAATATCTAATTTCCATGTAAACCAGAGATTGATATTATGTAGCCTAGTATTACAACACTATATTGTACCTAATTGAAACAAATTATAAAAAAGCAACAAAAAATTAAAACGAATTTAATTCGTCTGTTGATATTAAATTATTACTATATTAGCAAATATGTATTTTGATTTCAACTCAAATTCCTTATACATATGAAGCTATTATCTGGATTCTATGAAAAACATGTTCTTTGGTACTACATATAATATTTTACTTATCAACACTAGCACGTCCATTAATGACGAAAATCATTAAAATAAATTTTAATAATATGTAATCAAAGCAATTAATCGATCGTTCGAATCATATGATATCGATAAACAGTGATGTAGTAATAAGACATCATAATCGATAAGTGCTAATCGATAAATTAATTTACTGCAGTCATTCAGATTATTATGTTTACTGATTACCTAGCAACTAGTTTGTTTAAGAAAATAAGAAACGCGTTTTTAATAAGGAAAAAAAGAGATTTTGTTATAATCATTATATCATCAAAATCTATTGGTGATTAAAATTTATTTTTTTAATTTTATTAAACAAATATATATAGCTGTTTTGACTTGCGGTAAAGTGGGGGCGAATAGAAACAGAAGAGAGGTGAATAGAAACTAGGAAAATTCGCCAACTAGATGTTGGCGAATTTTCGCCAACATCTAGTTGGCGAATTCAACTCGTTTTACGAAACAAATTCTATTCAACTCGTTTTACGGTACTGCAATACTCAATTAATAATAATCTTATCTCATAATCTCATAGACTTCAGAGCATTATTCGGTATATAAGCTTAAGCTCCTCAGAAGAAAAAAAATCTTTCGAAGTATTTAAGTACACACTGATATACTTCAAAAAAGTAGGTAGGTACATATGTTAAGTAATGTCAAAAATAAATTAATCTACGGGAACATCCTCCATTGTTTTGTAATGCTTAATTATCGCCACACAATGCTGAGAATAGCTGCAGTGCTTCATTTTGTTCCTCTTCCTCCACTTCACCTTCCAACCAGAAAGTTTCCATTGTACCTTTGCCCTGTAAAAATTAAAAACACTGTTTTACCGCCCTTCATAATCCTGCCTATAAGTTCCCATTGCTGACAAAGGCTGCTCATGGAAAAGGCCATTAGGGAATCACCATGTTTTCTTAAGGTGGACTGTCAATTTTACAAGTAGATATTAGCAAGAAATTATAAGTCTAACAGTGGAATCTAACTAATCCACCCTCATGCATGAGAGAAGCGGGCAGAGGCCATGTGTGGCGGGTATATAGGTACTTAGTATCAGAATTCTACTGAACGTAGGTAATTTATTTCTATGAACTATCCGCAATTCGTCGCTAATTAAAAACTGGCCACAAGGATAAAATTATCTACCAATATAAGCATCACCATCAAAAGTGGAAGAGAAATGGGATGAATTGATTCCAAAATAATGATCTTTTTTTTTTTTTTTTTTGTCAGGGGAAAATCATCCAATGACTTCTCCCGCCAGGGTAAGGCGAGAGAGAGTGTCAGACTCTTACTGACTAAAAACCCCCCCGTTCCTTCTCCTGCTCTGGGCCGAGGTCGCGGTGCCTCATTGCGCTTACCCCGCGGCCCCGGCTAAACATCACCGTCACCGCCGTACGCTCGGGAAAATAATGATCTGAGTCTTAAAAATTGCATTAGGCAGACAGAAATTGAATTTGGTTTGGTTACCTTCACTTTGATGAGACCTCTTCGACGGAGCCTGAACCTTCCTGCGGGTAGCTGAGCTGCTGCGATTGCTGATATTTGGACGCGACCGGGCTGAAAAAATTAATTCGTAAATTCATTCAATCTCAAAAATTTATCTTTTTTCTTACACAGACTCCACAAACTAATAGATATATATCAACACAGATTGCAGATAATATTGAAATGTAATAAAACAAGTTAGGTATTAGCAACACCAGAGGAGTGCGCTAATGCGTTGCCAACATTTTGAGCCGCATAGGTACGAAAGTTTGGGGATTGTGATCGTGTATTAATCTAGGCTGTACGTACGAGCGGTTAGTAATTACTTACTTGAATTTTTACATGTCTCTATATTAAAGCAACCATTCACAAATCTAAAATAAAGCGATAACCCACTTCTGAAGAAGTTTGCATCCTGCTGGCAGTGTTGACGGTGTCTCCTACAAGACAGTACCGTGGTAAGCGTAGTCCTAGCACGCCAGCAACGACTGGTCCCGTGTGGATTCCTGTTCAAATTGAACCCAATATCAAAAATAATACTGTTTTTTTATTTTAGTCTAATAGGTTAGATTATAAAACTCATTTATGATCATTATGATTCTTCGTTGGCCATCAATGAACCAATTTTCACGAAATTACTGCTGAGATAATGACTAATCCGTGAGACAACCAACTCCGGTTTCCCTTAGTTGGTGAAAAGATTTTATGAAGTAGGAACGAGCATACATATTTTTGTCACATTGCCACATTAGCCATTTGGCTCTAAGCAGTGTAGAATGTTTAAGAGCAATCATTTCATACTTATTACTTTGTGCGTTAATGTTAAACTTTAGTTTGGTCTTACCAATGGTGAGTGCAGGTATAGCTCTTGAAATGGCGAGGGCAGCGCTGGCAGCGGCAGCCGCGTGCGCACGTCTCCTTTCTGGAGCTCCGGAGACCAGCATATAAACAGTGCCTACTGTCTCCACCTGACAGAAAAATGATTATTACTCCTAGATATCTTATATATAAAAATGGATCGCAAAATGTGTTGTAAGCGCATAACTCAATAACGCCTGGACCAATTTGGCCAATTCTTTTTTTAAGATGTTCGTTGAAGTCCAAGGATGGTTCTTACGGCGAGAAAAAAACGAATAATTGCCTGGAAAACCCTAAAAACAGCCCTTTCCTTTTTCACATACAAACGTTTTCTAACTAAAACGTCGAATCAATTTGAGCTTTATTGCTGTTATACATAAGGTTCATATTAAATAACAAGCACTCACTGTTATCTAAGAAATAAGTGAAAGAAGAAAATGTGTGTTCCTAACGTCAAAAAGTAAATTTGCACTTTCTTACCACTAAACAAAGTTCAAATTCAATCATCTATCAAAACAGTGTGCGCGTGTGCTTTGGAGCTGGAACACAGAATTCGTCGTTTGAGGATTAATAAGTCGGGTTCCGAAAACAAAAAAAAATCCGATTCGAATGATTCTTTCAGTGTTATGTAGTCCATTTATCGAGGAAGGTATATTTTATTTAATTCAAAATTAGGGATCTGTAATAAAATTGCTATTTTGTAACACAAGGAGTAAAATCGAAAACCTATTTTTGCGTGCGCTGCAATAACTATTGACCGTAGAACAAAATGATGTACTACGGGTTTGTAGATTCTATTAAAACCTACAAAAAGTCCGCGAGAGCATATATCTAGCTATCATGGTTAAATCACAATATACCCGATTTTGTGTTCAAAATAATTAATAAATTGCCTGAAGGAAAAAAAGCGTTAAATATGTATCGTAATATTATTCTTTATCGGAATTAAGCATTATGTTATCAAGAGTATTTATTTATAAGTATTTTAAAATACTATTTTATATCCTCTCAATCTCTCAATCGTTTAAAAGTTATCATGTGTGTAAGATGTTAAGAGTTGGTACCTTATTAATGAGTTATGGACCATAGAGTTTTTTTATCAACATAAAATCCTGTAATAATATTTTTCGTAATATATTTGTTGATGATTGTAAGTATAAGATGTTTGAAGAGTATAAGAAATACATTTCTAAACTAACTCTGCTAAGGAAAAGGAAATCCAAGGAAAAACATACATCTTAATTTGGAAATGTCGTTGCAGAATACAGTAAATGAATTAAATGAGTATATTACTGTAAATGCACCCAAGTTCTTTAATGACCAGGTAATGGCAAACAATAGTGTTATGCTCGGTGTTGTTTCAATGAGGGAAAAATATTTTTTTGGATGCTCCAGGCGGAACCGGCAAAACTTTCATTACCTACTAATATGATATTAGCAAAAGTAAGGTCTCAGGGAAAACTAGCTTTGGCAGTAGCGTCATCTGGAATCGCTGCTACTATATTAGCTGGCGTACGCACAGCTCATTACACTTTTAAACTAACCTAACCTAACCGTTCTTACAGAAAGAGCGTGTGCTCTATTCGTAAAAATGGCCTTTTAGGCAAAGTTTTGTAAGATGTCACTTTAATAATCTGGGATGAATGTACCATGATTCATAGAGCTCATGTGGAGGCTCTAGATAGGACTATTATAGATATTAGAGACTGTGATAAAATCATGGTTGGGATTACTGCCATGTTTGCTGGGGATTTTCGGCAAACTTTACCAGTAGTAGTAAGAGGAACTAAAGTAGACATTGTAAAAAATTGCCTGAAAAGTTCTCTATTATGGAAATTTGTTGAATACCTTAAAACTATCTACGGACATGAGAGCATATTTGGGAGGAGGTAGTACAAATTTACCTTTGAAGTTACTTTTAGTTGGAGACGGAAAAGTATTTTTTTTTTAAAAAAACTTTGCCCCACTTTTGGATTTTCTCCTGTGTTGTGGGTGCGTTTACAAACATACAATGTCACATACACATGACACCCAGACCCGAAACAACAATTTGTGGATCACACAAAGTGTTGTTCCGTGCGGGAATCGAACCCGCGACACGTCGCACGGCAGCCAGTTGCCTAGCCACCGCACCAACCGTGCAGTCAAAAAATAAAATACCTACTGATCAAGATTTGGGAGAAAAAAAAACTAGCATTGAGAGTTTAATATCAAAAGATATCGTCGAAATAGAAAATAAAGATTATCAATGGAAGTGTTCATAGTCGGTGCGGTGGCTGGGCAACTGGCTGCCGTGCAACGTGTCGCGCAAATTGTTGTTTCGGGTCTGGGTGTCATGTGTATGTGACATTGTATGTTTGTAAACGCACCCACAAAACAGGAGAAAATCCTAAAGCGTGTACAGTAAAGTCTAAACAGTAGTGTTGACAAAATTAACGGTTTCATTTTAACTAAACTTCCAATGGATCAAGAATATGCAGTCCATTATCTGCATTCTACAGGGATTTTTTCATTCTTTAAACCCGAGGGGCATCCCTTCATATTCTCTCAAGTTAAAAATTGGCGCCCCAATTATTTTACTTAGAAATTTATGTAACGGGAGACTTTAGGTTAAATTTGTTCGCAATAATGTGATCGTTGCAATAATAGTTCTGACTGGTCCAGTGGTTGGCCAAACAGTATTAATACCTCGGATCCTAATGATTCCAAATGATTTGCCTTTACATTTTAATCCAATTCAGAAAACAAAACGAAAAATATAATTTACTCAGAAGTACTTTAAAATGATATTTTAACCCGGTTTAAAGTGAACGGACACTCCCGCCTGTAGTCGTAATTCTTACGCTTACTTGACTTATACAATTTAACTTAATCTATATTTTTCTTAATATTATACCTAAACCTGAGTTGAACCTAAAAAGTTTGGTTGTTTGTTATGAAGGCGGTAATCTCGGGAAACGCTGATCTGATAATTATGAAAACTGTTTAAATATTCAATAGTCCATTCATTGAGGAAGGCTATAATATAGGCAATATTTTATCTCGGTATTTCCACGGAAACGACCAAAACGCGGGTGAAACCGCGGGGCACAGCTAGTTAGTTATATAAAATTAAGCAGAATGTAGACTAAATTAGTTCAGTCAATATCCAGTGTTGGTTGAAATTATATAAACGAATTCCTACTTTTAGTAGCTACCGTCTTAACACATTTTTAAATCTATTCATTAATATCAACAGCACCTTGTAGACGCGATGTGTATCCAACAACCTGTCGATCCTGGAGTATACATCGTTCATGTATGCGACAGTTTGCATCACGTCAGCTCTGGTACCCGCCTCTGCCAGTTGCACAGCGCAGAATATAATGGTCACGTTTTCAAATGCCTGAAACCATTACAGTAGAAACTTAGTAGGTGATGGTTTCATAATTTTAAGATTGTTGTTTTTTTTCAGGTTCAATATATTTGATTACTTCTCCCGCTTAGCGTGAAGCGAGGCGAAGGAGACTGAGATGCTTGTAGTTGTAGTGACTAATAACCAACCAGTTCTTTTCCTGTTTCTTATCAGGCCTGGTACAATATTTATTGTTTTGTTTACCTGACAAGCAGCCATAGGATCTTTCCCAGCTCGTAGATGATCAGCAATTCCTTTCGGTATCATAGAGTACAATAATTGATCTCCCCTCTTCTTCCACTGGTCCAGAAGCCTACAAGACTTCTCTAAAGATAAACTTCTATTTTCTGCTTTTTCAAACAGTAGTTCAAGCCGGGAGACGTGCTGCCATCCTTGCAGAAGCATTTCTTTGGAAAGGCCGTGGCCGTTCATGTCTGCTAAGAAAATGCCAGCTTGATGCAGTTCATCGAGATCGTTGAAGCTGGAAGTAGAGAACAAATCGGATTTATCGTTACTGAACACGTGGAACACGTAAAAATTAACATGACAAAAAGTTTTTTTTATGAACAACATCCAGGTATCTACATATATATAACTAAATATCTAAGTATGACAGTTATTTTCGACTTACAGCGGACTACACAGGAATATAAGGGCATCTATTTCTTCTAGCAGATAGATGGGGCCTCGTAGCAGAATGGAGCGAGCTCCCTGTGAGCCTCTTCTTACTTCAGCACAGTTTCGAGAGCGGTAGCGAAGCAGCTCTAGGTCGAAGATCATTGTCTGCATGCATACCACCTGAGGGAAGACAGACAAATTGTTTAAAGACAGTTAAGATTTTGAATTTTATTTTAAAAGACCATGTTTGGCTTATGTGAAATATTAAGTAATTTTGGAACCGATTTTTGATTTTTGGAAAGGGGACTAGATGGATTAAGACGAATACTTAGTTCTAAAGACACCCATTTGCTATTCCTTGCCTCTCTTCAATAGAAAGAATTCCAGTTTTTTTTCGTTCCGTCTTTTTATTTTGCATTGAACAACCATTAGGTATTTTAGTTGAGTGTGGGTGTAACCTTACACTTTTGGTAGGTCTTCTTAAATTACATTATGTACATATGTGTATATGTATATATGTTAAATTGCCAGTCAGTTAATAGGTAATATCGTACCATCCGAGTGCCCCTTGGCACCTCCCAAGGTTTTTTTTATTATAAGTAATTATTTTATTGACAAAATTCAAATACCTTGTCCCATGTAAACGGTACTTTAGGTTTCCTCAGACGTAATATTTCGGAGATTGCTGACTTCTCTAGGCGACTGAGTGGTCCACCCCAGGCAGCTACCAACTGTAATTTATAATTAAGTATTATCATTAACGTTAACAACACCGTGAGCTGAACAATGAACCTGTTCGAGCACAAGGGTTGACTATAATCTGTAAATTAGATTGAAGAGATTCTGACAGGATCGGTTTATCAGAGAATTCTACTGGTCCATGCAGGTACCATTAAGTATGTGATCCAAATAATATTTAATTATTGTATTGTATTTACGTTTTCGACATTGAACAACTAAACAAAACCTGGGAAGAAGGTCCTTGTTATTAAATAGAATTGAATAATAAAATAAGCATGTTTGTTGTTTCTTTTTTTATTAATTTTCGAATATTTTTTCTCTTTTTTTAAGAGCTTCTGTCAAAAACCTGTACAATTTGGAATAGATCGGTTATTGATTTCAGCCACTAAATACAAATTTATTTTGAATAGGAGGTCGTCGTTGTTTTTATTATACCTACATATTTAAAAGGTGGTGTAATAGGCGAGCAATACTTGTATTATTAGTAACTGCTAAAATCTTACTCTCTCTCCAGCCTTTAGGATCTTCATTCGCCTGTCGAGCAGCACTCCAAAGGGAAACAGCTGCAGGAGCAAGGTGGCCGGTACTGCCGGTAGAGGGCAGGGCAGGGACTTACGTAACATTAGAGACTGGACCTAGAATTAACATAATAACATGGTATAAACATTATAATGGTATTAAAACAAAAAAATGGTTGATCGTCGCAGTAATTAAAATTAGGCTGTGACGAAGAGTCTGTGCAAACAAAAATCTGTTAAGTTTTATTCTAAACAACACTTTTTTTTTGTTTACATAATGTATTATACAATCTGAGCGTATAATATGATTAATTGCTTAGGGTATTTACCAATAATGTTTACTGACATAAAATTTAAACTGAAGAAATCTTGCCAGAGTGCAATCTCAGTAATGTACCGTGGACATAGACCGGAGCAGCAGAAGGAACGGGGTTTTTAGTCAGTAAGAGACTGACACTCTGTCTCGTTTCACACACGGTGGGAGAAGTCTATAAGAAGTCTCAGTTGATCAGCTTTGCAGAAACATGATAACATAGGGACTAGCAGCAACTGTCACCGGATTCGCCCATAGCACAAGATCTATGTGTTATTTCAGACTAAAAAAAAACAATCTATATCTGTGCCAAATTTTATTCCTATCAGTTTAGTAGGATATAGTATTTTTTACGTAAAAGAGTAACAAACATCAATCCATAATAGATATAACGGACTTTGAAATTAGACTTTTTGTTGACTTGTTCCAAAAGATAAGGTCTACGTGCTTCCGTTTATCTATTAATATCATATTAAGAGGCGTTAGACGATGCAATCTTTATTTTGATACAGATATTATTATCATTACTGGTTATTGATGATTATTAGGTACATACCATGACATTTTGTTTGAAATTTGGTAAACAATAGAATAATATTCATCAGATAAAATTGTGACGTCTGATATTTGTTAATAGGGTACAGAGTCGTTTAGTAAAATTTATTCGTTATTAGCGCTTATATGGATCGTAGATACACGTTCAACCTGGAGGACAAGGTGCTGGTGGTGGTGTGCCCTGCTTGGGCTGAGCACCCTCGTGTCCTCAAGGAAGCTCTTACTAACTCTTGCGATCGGCTTTAGTTGAGGCCATGATGACGAGCAAGAGGAACTGGAAAGCCTTGTTCTCTTTCTACAAAGCAGTGTTGCCCGCAAAAAAGGAGGCGGTTTGCGTGAAGGAACTACCTATTCTCCTAACGTCACAGCCGCGTCTTAGGAGGAGACCGACCAGGCCAAGGCGTTCGTACCTTAAAAGCCAATAGACCACCACAGATGAGGTTCAAAAGGACTGATGTAAGCCAGGGTTGGGTGTAAGCGGAATAATATTCCGCAGCGCTGCTCTGGAGCAGGAAAAGGAATAATATGGTTTTTAGTCAGTAAGGGTCTGATACTTCCTGTCGTCCCACTCAGGGCAAAAAATTTCCTCCCATATTAAATGATTTCCTCCCAAAAAAGGCACTGCTACATCTCCTCAATCCCCCCATCAAATTATCTGCCGTCCTAGGCCACCACAGGGATAAGTAGTAAAACAATCTGAGTGTGCTGAACTGTGGTTATATTTAGAAAAGGCTTAATTTCAAGCTATACCTACACATCCAGTTTATCATGTTTGTATTACAGTAGTCTCGTGTCATTCGGCGTTCTATTGTGTACAGGTATAAATCCAAATTTTCTAGTTGAAACTTGCTGATTGATTGACGTTGATTTGGTATTTCCAACAAATATTTAGACGTTAGTGTTTAAACCCTGATAAGCCTTCTGATTGGATGGTTAACTTGGAACAGACCAATCAGAGCACCGAACGTCATAATATAATCTTGTTGATCGTATAATTTCGTAAAATAACCAAATCGAAGTAAGTATTATGTTTTACTTTTTATCAAATTACATTTTTTACATTTACATCTACTTATCTTGCATTTCAACTCAACTAGCTCATATTTTATTCATGATCTAAACTTAATTTGGCAAAGTAAACATTTCTCACGGAGAGAACATTCATGTTGGTAACTTGGAACATTTATATGTGTGTGTGGATGGTGTAGTAAAACTACTACTACATATATAACATGTAAATTTAAGTGGTGCTGAAGCGATGGAAATGTAATTCTAGTTGGATGGTTGAAGTTAGGACCAAGAAAGACGGTATAAGAAAATTCTGGAAGTAGACTACTTATTTTCGGCAAAGCCTTTCTAAATGAAAGGCTCTAGAATCTGCGAATCACTTACATGATCGATTGTAATTTGCTAAAGGCTTAATATGTACCGAGTAATCGATGAAGTGTTTTTTTTATGGTATACGTCGGCCAAATCGCCGCCCATGGACACCAAATGAGTTACGAGTGCGTTGCCGGCCTTTTGGGGATAGGGGTTGCGGATAAAAGGATCGGGAAGGGATAGAGGAAGGGGAGGGATTGGGCCTCCGGTAACCTCACTCACACGGTGAAACACACCGCTGGGTTGTTTCACGCCGGTATTATGTGAGGCCGTGGTATCACTCCGGTCGAGCCGACCCATTCGTGCCGAAGCTTGGCTGTCCCACACTGAGTGTCATCCAAAATGTGTCAAATTTTGTTAAAGTAAAATAAGAGCTACATATATGTGTAAGTTGTAGGTACATTTCAGAATGAAAACTGATCTACTTATCAATGTGCAATCAAACGTAAAATTTTCTTAGGTCGACAGAGTACTTTTTCTTATTAAAATGATTTCCAACGGAATTGTTAAAGTAATTATCTGTATTCCCATAAATTCTTTTCTACGGACGGAAGACCAAGAAATATTATTAAATTTCCAATTCATTGGTTACGTTCGAATTCCAGCGGGACCGAAAATCAATCAGTGACAAATCCGCCGACCGCTACAAAATCTCGCGTTTGCAATTTGAATCTTTCCATTATTGTTACACAGTGCAATTTTCTAAAGTATAAGAGTATGTTTAAAATGAACAACATATCTTCTTCACTACATAGTATACAACAAAGTAGCTTTTTCTGTCCCTATATCCATAAGCATATCCGTATGTACATATGATTAAATCATTAAATTTTTTTTAATAGATATGATAGGGTACCTAAGACATATAAGCCATATGCAAGGTAATAATATCTACTATGATATGTTTACTGTGCCATATGTAAAATAACATCAATTTTATTTGAAGGGGTTGAAGCATCGCTAGCACCTAATATTACAAACGTCAAAGTTTATAATAATTATGGATGTTTGTTATTCCTTTTTAAAACTACTGAACGGATATTAATCTCTTCAATCAAATCAATATTTTTAAAACCCTAGTACTTCAGGCGATGCTCCTGGCAGAAGATAGTTTGATAGGTTTGTAGTAGGTATTATTTTTAAATAAGTAGGTATAGTGACTGCACGGTTGGTGAGGTGGCTGGGCAACTCTTTGTGTGATCCACAAATTGTTGTTCCGGGTCTGGGTGTGATGTGTATGTATGTTTGTCAATGCACCCAAGTGTGGGGCAACGTTATTAAAAAAATAAAATAAATGTAATTCAAAGTGAATGGTAATACTAAAGCTATTTAATAAACGTAATGAAGGGAAATTCATTATACTTAACCGAAAAAAGGAAAGAAAGAACTCTTATAATAAAGAATAACAGTTTAAAGCATTAATAAATATTGTTTTATGTGCTAACCGTGCGATAAACCTTTAAAGTCCTAGTAATGATGGCCATTTTTTTTGTTAAGTGTTATTTCTTGGTTGGAAGACACTTTCATTAATATTTTCGCAGGAAAGCGTTCCCTTTCGATATTAGTAACTAACCTTAATATTAGGAACTTCTCGGCACAGTTCTATTAAATGTCAGATAAAAACTTAGTTTAGTCTATACTATACTAATATTATAAAGAGGTCAAATTTGTAAGTTTGAATGTTTGTAAGTTTGTATGTAGGGGGTAATCTTAGGAACCGCTGGTCGGATTGCCAAAATTCTTTCACTGATAGATGGCTACAATGTTCCGGAGTGCTATAGGCTATAAATCATCACGCCACGATCAAATGGAGCCGAGCAACGGGTGAAATCGCGCGAGAGTAGCTAGCTAGTTTTAAATAAATAGGTAAAAATACTATCAACAAAACTGTAACTGTGACTATACCGATTTATGATTTATTTTTACAAATCATCGAATGGTACATTGTAAAAATCGTAAATTTGATATTTTTATCATGAAGGACAAGGTCTCAAAACAATAGCAAACTTAACAATAGACAGTTAATGCTTCCGTTTTGGTGCAAACGATTCTGATCGTTACTTCAAACCGTAAAAGGGGTGCGAATTGTCTACGGGGAAATTGGAACCGATATATGACAATGGCAGCTAGCCGTGTGGTCTCCGTATGCAAGGTTATCTTCATATCAACTTATAGTCTTATATACCTAACTTATTTATAACTACATACATAGCCACATGATAATACATACTTGAGTAATCCTTTCCAAAAAGAAAATAATGTTCTCTAATTTCCCAGTACTTATAGTTTACCTAAAAATGGTCATGTAAAATGTTGTATACTAGCGACCCGTAATTCCTGCTGCTGCGCACAGGTGTAAGTAGTCTAAACTTCAGTAAGCAAGTAAAACTTTAATAGCAGGTAACGTGCAGCAATGACTAGTTCCCAGTAAATCTCTAATCTTGACCTTCTCTTGAACTTAGCAAGCACAGCATAAAAAGATTATTACAATTGGTCAAACCATTCACGCGTGATGCCATACACTAAGAACATTGGGATTCATTTTTATAAGTATACTGACGACCGGCCCCGGCTTCGCACGTATGTAATGCTGATACTAAATTTCTTCACTATTTCTTGGATTTTATTATATGTTTAAAGCTCGTATCGATCACTCTATTTATTTAAAAAAAAAACCCTTAAAAATCTGTCGCGTAGTTTTGAAGAATTAAGCATACAGAGGGATATAGGGGCAGAGAAAGCGACTTTGTTTTATACTATGTAGTGATAGTGATGAAAAAACATACCTCATATTTAAAAATGAGGACAGGTACAACTAAATCTAAGCTTAAAATATACCAAAAGAAATAATAGTTTTTATATATATAAT